GTGCTTAATTTCTTAAATAGCCTAAGGTTGGAGTGATTACAATTAGGGTTTAGCACAATAGATCTTCTTAGGTCGCAACGCAAGTATTCCTGACGACACGGGTGGGGACCATTTCATCTATCGATTTTAGAACTCGTTGGGAACTATTGGAAAACTTAATGCAGCGGGCGACAATTTCCATTGAGTACTACTCAATGAGTAGTGGTTGTAAATGTAGCAGAAGCGTACCCATTCAGAGCTAGACAGTTTGCCTGTAGGGATTTATAAATATAGTACGTATATAAGTGTATACGTATGCATGTATGGGTAATTCAAGTACACATAAGTAAGGAGCAGATCTCGTCGTGCAGCTCAGCAACAGTTACCGGGAATAGCCCATAAAACTGCTATCGTACTCCGCTCCTTGCACTTTTGTAAACAGCAGTAATAACAACATTGTTAGCTGAGTGCTGGCCGATAGTACCAATCAACTACAAACAACGGTAAATGCATATCTAATATTACATTGTATACCCATGTCGGTGTATTTCGCATATCCTGGCATTACTTGTGGGCGCTTTTGAACTGCTCATTCCCTATTGGTTTACTGCTCACGATGCTATGTATTGCCGCGGGTGTTTCCGCGCTGCCTTCGCTTACAATCTGCGTTGGGTTGTGTTCTACTTTCTTTTACATACCCGTTTCGCATTGTGTGCATTTTCAATGAGCTCGGAATTGGTAATGGATATCGATATCGCAATGACTTTGTCAACATCATTCACTGTATTCAACTGTGGCTGTGTTGAAGTTGAATTGTTTTCAATTTTTCTATTGCACTCATTCATTTATGCATTTGCATTTTTTTTATACTTCGTATTTGAATCAATCATTAGCTTTTAAGTTAGTAAGAAGCCGCATACATATGTATGTTTGTATACCTATGCACATTTCTAAGTAAGTATGATCTACATACACATAAATGTACATATGTCATTGATAGTCTTGTGTAAATTGCTTTGTTTGTCCCAGAAAAGGTAAATTAATAATTTACTTTTTGACTAAATGTCAAGTAATTATTAGATCAATGATTTAAAACGTTGGGCGCTATGTCTCTTTTAATTAAAGTTTATTGTCGATGATTTTGCATTTATATAAAACGAACGTTTCGTGTTTCGATTCAAGGAACTCAAGGCTAGCAAATAATAATTATTATAATAAATGTGTTTTCAGAGGATTTATTAATTTATTACACGTGGAAAAATAATACAACTGCCGTTAAAGGCAGTAACTGGGTCACCAAAATGTTCAACAGGATTTAGATAGAATTTCCAGGGTAGGGGTAATTTAACGATTTATCTGCTTCTCAAATGAAGCTTCAAAGAAATTACTTAAATCAGGTAGAAAGTGCAATGGGGTATAGTCGTTGCGCTTGGTATGCAGTTACAGTTGCATGGCTCAATCACGACTCTTGCGTCCTTGTTCGTGCACTCTGGGCAACGTGAGCAACCCATGTGCGAGATGCGGTAACCAATCCGAGTGGAGCCTTGGATCACGGCAGAAAGAGAGGGAGTTTCGGTGGGGCCACTCCGATTTATTCGGTTTAAGGGCTCACTGATGCGATGATGATGGAGTAGCTGTCCCACCGCCTGACTATGACGAGGTACGTATAGCGATTACGCGGCTGAAAAACAACAAAGCTGCTGGAGCTGACGGCCTGCCAGCCGAGCTATTCAAGTACGGCGGCGAGGAGCTGATGAGGTGCATGCATCAGCTCGTATGCAGAATATGGTCAGATGAACGCATGCCCGACGACTGGAATTTAAGTGTGCTCTGCCCAATCCACAAGAAAGGCGACCCCGCCATACGCGCCAACTACCGCGGAATTAGCCTTCTAAGCATAGGTTACAAGGTCTTATCGAGCGTATTGTGCGAAAGACTGAAGCCCACCGTCAACGAGCTGATTGGACCTTATCAGTGTGGCTTTAGGCCTGGAAAATCCACCATAGAT